TCTCCCCCATCTTATTAAGAAACATCTCTTCTGCTTTGGTTACATCCTCCTGGGGCAGAAAATGAGAAGGCATAACCGCCCTTGCAGATGGACGGGGGGAGCTGCTTGGAAACACCTTTCCACGCCTGCACAGGACCCCCGAGGGGCAATCAAACATCGTACCCCCCTTGACAGCAAGAGGAGCGAAAGGGGGGAGCAGAGCTGAGAGTGAGCCCCTCTCACCCCAGACCCAAACCAGGAGGAGCAAACGCACGGCTCCTCGCTTCCCATCACAACTCTGCTCCTCTCTTCTCCTTTCCGACCGGCTCCGCAGGAGGAACCTCCTAACATGGTGGGGATTTTCTGTTTCAAACACAATTCCCTCTTCAAACCACGAGCAAACACGGCAGCTGCTGGGCCCTGCCCCGACACCGCTCCTTCCACACTTGCTGGAGTGTTTCAACCACCACTGCGTGGGCAAAGGTGGGGAGGACTAACCCCAAATCCTCACCTAATGCCATTAGAGCTCTCTAAGCCCTTCAGGATGGATATTTTCTGCTCTTAATCTCTCCTCCCACCCCCGAGCTGGGAGATGTAACTGGGTAAACCGTTGCATGCATCCGGTCACACACGATGGCTGTCTCCGGCACGGCAAGCGAGGCCGGGGCCGCACAGCACCCACCGGTACCTGCGAGCTCCCCATGCCGCCCAGTTGCAGAAGGGGATGGAGAAGCAAGACGGGGCTGCCGGAGCCTTGCAGAGGCCTTCCAAGCCCCACTGCAGCGAAGGGAAGCACCTCCAGCTCTCTGCAGAGGTTGCACTGCACTGGAGCTGTGAGGCTGGAAAGCAAAGCAGCTACGAGTCTGTTACAAGACCTTAACGATGAGCTTGTCTCTTCTCCCTCTCCTCTCCTGGTGCTTATGCACCCTTGATTCCCAGCTCCCAAGAGCAAACTCAGCCCATTCCGTGCCAGCACGGTGGGCATCAATCTCTGCTATTGCCTCTGGGTGCTACTGTAAAGCAGGGAAAAATAATCAGGCACATAAAAATACGGTGGCTGTCATGCACGTCAAGCACTGATGAGACCCTCTGGACAGCAGTTCCTTTAACCACAGCTTTGAGAACGCCTCCTGGACCCAACATGGGGACGAGAGTAACGCCGGCCAGCGCAAACGCTCCCACCACCACGTACCATTCTGCGTTACCGATTTCCCCTCCTTTGACCACACACCCGCTGGGCAGCTGAAAGGCACTTACCCACTAGTCCAGCTCCCAGGAATGGTGATGAAGATATGCTGTTGTGAGACGGCAGGTCCCTGTGCTCGCCGTAGTGGGGGCCTTCACCATAACTCTGCTGAAGCAACACAGGAGAGTTACCGCCAGGCACGTGGGGATGCTGAGCCAAAAGCCAAAACGCAAGGCTGTTGGAGCTGTCTCTCCCAAAGCAGGAAGGGTCAAAGTCACAGGCTCCTCGTAAAAAGGGCACAGAAATTATTTTATCCTCTCAGCAAGGGAGAGCACAACAGTGCACCCACGAAGTTGTGGCATTGAAGAGGGGATATGGCACCAAAGCAGGGACATACGGGGGGTTTGCCCCATGCTGGCAGCTCTGGTCTTCGCCCAGTGGCTCGGGACCCACCAGGTGAGAGCCAGGCAGCCCCCTCCCCAAGCCAGAGGGGCGAAGAGGCAAGAAGGCCTATAAAAATGAGAAATGACACCACAGCGCCTGCTTCGCCACTGACCTAAAGGAAGGGAAAGGTGCCATTGCAAAAACGAATCATGCAAATCCATTAAAACACGAGCATCTGTCAAAATAACATCATTTCAATTAAGTTAATGTCGTTTCTCTCTTCCCCTCCTCAGCCCCCAGTTATGCACTGTTACAGCCTCAACTCCTTCCCTGGGAAACCCTTTCCGTGCTCTCCATCCCCGCCGAGGGCACCTTGGCCAGCCGATGTGGTGGATTCCCCTGAAAGCAAGCCCCAGTCGGCCCCTCGGGTTCCCAAAGCTGTGCGTGTGGGCACCCAGCAAGCTTTGCCGAAGGCACAGCCCATCAGGTGAGGTCCCTCAACCTGCTTGGCCACGACCCCATTTGGGGACCTCTCCCCCCACCCCGTGACCAGGACTCCCCTCTCGCCATGAAGCCGAATGCCAGAAAGAGAGGCTGGAGCTGCTGTGGGGAGTTGACATGGGGTGCGGGCCTGGGGGAGGTTTTTGGAGGAGCAGCCTTCTTCAGGGGGACCTCAAGGCAGCAAAGCCCGGGAAGATGGAGGCTGGGGGAGCCGCTCTCCCCACTGTCATCCCCACAGAGTTCACAGAATCAATATCCAAAGCGGGGCAAGAAAAGCTGTTCCAGGGTTAGACTCAATCTGGACACAAACGCACACGCTGAGAAGCCACGGTAAAGCCCCCGTTTATTTTGGTTGGAGCTTGGTGTTTGTACTTCATCCTTACCCTTCCTTGGTCAAACGTGGAGCTGTTTTGATCTCCCGTTCCCCAGGAACCTGATCCCGGCCTTTCATCCAAACCTACCGAAAAACAGGAAGAACAAAGGTTACTCTTGCTTTATCAGCAAAGCCTCAAAGGTGTTCTCACAAAATTAACTCTTCCTTCTACAAACAAAACAATATTTTCATTAATAAACCACTTCCACTTGGTGTGACCGATACTCCCCTCTCCCTCCTCACCTTCCCACTCCAGCTGGGAGTTTATTCCACAAACTTCAAAGTAAATCCCACCACAGCCTGGAAATGCTTCAAAACACGGGACAGTGGGAAGAGGAGAAACAAGTATTTTAATTCACTTTATTCCAGAGAGCACCCATGAACCTTTTCTCCCTGGAGACAGATTGTGAAGAGGACTGCGAATTAAAAACTCATTGCATCGATCTTGATGCTCCAGCAGGACCTGATTTTTGCCCATGGTGCTGCCAGGCCATGGACCAAACTCTGTCCTTCACTGCACCCGAGCAGATTGAAAGAGCACCCGGAGTTGAAAGCCTCAGAGGGGAATTGCTGGGGGTACAATGTTACCTGTGGCTTAGTCACACTCGTTCAAGGACGTTTGTTATTTAAGCCCCCCGTGGTCCCACAGAGGAGGGTGCACTGTCAACCCCGTGGCAATCAGAGCATGCTCCTGTTCATCTCGTTTTTACCCCTCCCAAGCATATCCTTGGCAAAGGGACTCCGACCCAAAATGGCAAGGGACCAAACAGGAGGGGTTTGCAATGTGCCTGCACACAGACTGCGGGAGGAAATCGTCTCCTTTCATCATCTGCCAGGTCCACCCAGGCTGCGCCTCTTGGGCTACCAGCACAGGAGACACCCAGGGGAGATGGCAAACGTCCACCGGGACAAAAAAAAAAAAGCCCGGAGAGTCACATCAGCAAAGTTCTTGCAATTCAAGTTGTGGTACCACAACGGCACAGAAGAAACCTTCCCTGGAAGATGAGCCTTGGCTCGGCAGCAGGATTCCTGACTGTGTCGGTCCATCTCCTCTGCTCCGGTGGGTGACCAGAGGTCAAAGAGCGGCAGTTGGCATCTCCCCGTTCAAATGCTCAGGGGGGTAAAGCCGGGGATTTGAGAGGGGGCCAGTGCAGGGCAGGGGCATCGTTTTTGCCCTGTGCCCAGGCTTTGGAGATGTTATGTAGATACCGTGAGCTCAGCCAGGGAGGACAGAGAGGATCTGCAGGAAGCTGAGGAGCGTGGAAGGCATCAGTCAGAGCCATCTCTCTGCCTCGTCCCACGGAAAACCTCAACCCCACCACGAGGGCTATATGGCCACACCTGCCAGGAGAAACCTCTTGCAGCAGCTCCCAGCAGCATCCAGCATCACCCTGTGCCATCCCCTTCACACCAGCTCTTCTGACGACAGCCAACAGCCGAGATGCCGGCAGGGCCTTACGGGAGATTTTCTTTTAGGAGCAGGGATCTGCTCCCAGCAGTGACAGCGGAGACGCAGGACGGCGGCAGGGACAGGGGCGCGTGCGGGAGCAAGGACACGGAGAGGGGCAGGGTTGCAGGGCGCACTCCAATTTCATTTTAGCAAAGCTGATTATTATGGCAAACACGCCGCGTATTTGTCTCCTCCGCTCCCCTTACTGTTCATTTAACCAGAAACTTCTTTCAAATTACATCCTTCTATTTCTGTGCCTTTGTGTTAATCATTTCCCCAGAGAATTGGTGTTTAATTGCTGTCTAATTTGCATAATTATGCATATTAATCTCTACACCTAATGAATATTCATAATTCTCATTTAGATTTTGTTTTCTAATCAAAAATTTCCAATGTGATTACTGTGCAGAGCAGGGATAAGCCTCTAATAATACCTTGGATACTAGGGAGAATTACTGCCAATTCTCCCACCTCCTACTTCCTAGAATAAACTTTTGCTTTGCTAATGTGTTTTTCTAAAGCAATTCATCTGCATACCCTGCAAACACCAACGGAGATCAGGAGGCAGAAATGCTCCTTCTATTCATTTTGCTTTCACGGGGATTTTTAAAGCTCCCCAACGGTCAGACCGAAGACAGGAGCAGGAACCGCAGCCTCGGACAAAGCCTTGGCAAACTTGCCCCTTCACGCTGGAAGGACGAGGACCGTGGCCCCGACCGTGGCCAGTGTCCCCACGAGGCATCTCGGGAGCCCCAGAGCCAGTGGGGAAGTTGAGGCACAGGGGTCCCCATCCCCACGGCCACCCCTTCACCATGCAGGATGGGTGTTCTCGAGTCCCGGATCACCCTGTCCTCCCGCAGAGCCACCTGGTCCTGTCCGACCCACCCGATGGCAAAGGAGCATCCCCAGGCCAGGAGGCACTGGGAGAGGATGCTCGGGGCGGGCAGGCTGCAAGGGGGCTCTGGAGGGAATTTGGGTGCCTGGAAGCCCAGGATGAATTTTTTTTGCCAAAATTCCTAGAGTGGGGGCAGAAATCACTGCCAGGCCTCCCCAAGGAAGGAGGGAAGAGGAGACGGCGAGTGGTACAGGTGACAAAAGCTGAGGTCAAGAGGCTCACACGTTCCCTAGACAGGGAGAAACCCTCTGCATGAGCTCCCTCCACGCTGTGGTACCACCATTGCGACCCAAAGAGGGGTCAAAACCACAACGGGTGCTCCGGCGGCATGCACGTACCTGACCTGGCGGAAGATGAGCCACTCTCCCAGAATGCGTGTGAGTCCCAGGCACCCCTCTTTCCCCCTCGCTGCTCTTGGGGAGATGCAGAGCTGGGGGCAAGCAGCTCCCCCCCAACCTAATGGGAGCTGGGAGGGAAACCCTGACCTCCTCCCATCAGCTCCGCACCACGTAACCACAGGCGCAAGCGATGGCCAGGTCCTGCAACAGCAAACCAACCTCCAGGGAAACACTAAAGGCCTTTTTTTAAATTTTTTTTTTAATTTCTCCCCCCCTTCAGACACTGGTGTTCATGTAGTTGCACAGCTGCCAAGGTGAAGCGAGGTTATCGCTCTCCGAGCCGAGCGGCAAAGAAAGCAGCCCTAAAGGCTCGGTCATCTCCGAACGTGCCTGTGTCAGCGTACGACCGTGGGGCCAGCCCGCTGCCCAATGTCTGCTGGAAAAAAAAAACAAAACAAAAAACCAAAAAAAACCCCCCCCAAAAAAAAAAAACAAAAAAAAAGGTCTCACGCCTTCCCCGAGCTGCGGTCACCAACACGAAAGGTGCCAGTAAAAAATCTCCCATTTTCAGCCCGCAGGTGTTTTAAGACTTCAGGGATTTCTGGGATGAAGCCAGGAAAAAACAGACTGCCCACTTTCAACTTCTGGCATCTGTCCTATATTCAGTGCCAACCTGCTCTTCCCTCCCCTCTGTATCCAAGCAAGGATCTCAAATTTGGCAGCAAACGCCCTCTGCCAACCCTGCAAAACCCCAAAGTTTGCCCAAAGGTAAGCGCTTCTGGAAAAGCCCCCATCAGCAGGGTTTTTTGCTCCACTCACGCTACAAAATCCCCGAAGACGGTGCCACCACCAAACCCCGTCACACTTTCGGGAGCAGCCGGGCTTGACCCAAATGGAGGAAGAGGAAGGGGAAGAAGCAGAAGATGAGGAAGCCTGGGGTGAGAAGGACCCTGCCCAAGCAGCCTCATGCTCTCCCCAAGTGCTCACCCATGGGCACCCAAGCATCCCACCTGGACACTTCTGTCCCAGCAGCTTGGGACGCCAGGCCAGGTGCCCGGGGGGTGGTCGGAAGCACCTCGGGGCACCTTGCCATGTGTTGTTTGCTGCCCACGGGCGTTGTTCAGGTGCTGCCGGGCTCCCCCCAGGGTGAGACAGAGACCCCGCAGGCATCCCCTGCACCCCCCAAATCTGCCTCACCCCTGGGCACAGATCTCCTGGGTTAAAGCATGCACAAGTCCCTGGCAAAAAAAACCAAACCAAACACCATAAATCCCAAGTCACCAACCGAGATCGTGTCAAAACTCACGTGGCACGGAGCTGAATTATGTTTGCACAAGCGAGCTTAATTCTGGCATATCCCAGTTTTTGGGTGCTTGGCTTTGCAACATTTCCAAGGCTCTTCCAGCACAGGGCGTGTGTGAAGTTTTAGAGACGCCCACGTGTGCACGCAACTGTTGGGAGCCAACTTTATTTTAAAATAAACCCATTTTCCAGCTAACCAAGT